GTATCACATGCTCTTGCTCACCTAAATTTGGAATCGTATCACACAAAACAATTTTGAGTGCAATGCGCAGTTTGTAATGGAAAAAAGTCAAACATCACCAGCTGCCAGACATGTTTTTTTACAGCGCTGCACATTATAATCAATCACACACGATTCTGTTGAGCGTACAAATGCAGCGGCCAATCAGAGGCGTTCAGATGAGTCAGCGCGCGCTCGCTGACTGAATTCTGCTCTCTGGCGAATTTTCTCATCATGTAAGAGGACTTAACTTCTGGACCTTTGACAGCGAGGGGTGGGTCGTTCGAACGGGCCTGAAGGGCTAATAGTGTATTTTACTGCATTGCGGATGCAAGCGTTGACCCTCACTGTAATCTGGTCATGGTCTTACAGGGCAATGACTGTAAGGCAAACCATCATCATGATCATCTTAATTTCTTCGGATATTTTCTAAACTAGCTAATTGTCAAAATTATTACAATAACAATTACATCATTACAATATCTTTATGGTAAATTCCTAATACTGAACATGTCGTTGCATTATTAAGAGTCATATTTTTCCCTTACGAAAATTAACCATCGTTCATTTTTGTAATGGTTGTTGTGGTCTGCACTCCTTTTGAACTTGTTATAAAACGATGTGAATATTTGTCTGCTAAATTACTACTGCAACATCGCAATAGATAATAATGATGTGCATACAGTGTTTTGAGTGATGAGTAAGGGGTTACTAGTAACAAGCAATAGCAGTTTAATACTTAACTTATACTTAAAGTGAACAAAGATAAAACTACAATAGCCTATTTACAGATGAAACTGACCAGCACTGGAAGTCCTGAACAGGTCAGTAGTTTTTCCTCTCTGCTCCACCTGGACTCTTCCACTCCAGTCTCTCGCATGGATTACTCTCAGCGGAGCGCGCGTGCAGAAGCGTCACAACTACTATTTCATGATTTATTGGAGACTTTTTATCCAATGGTGACTTCGGAAATAATCGCTTTAGTACACTCGGCAGGCAATTATTAATATATAAAAAAATAAAAAATAATTATATATACAGTACATATATATATATAAACGGGCCAACGGGCCACGTCGGTTGCCAGGCCAACGGGAATTCTCCAGGTTCTCCAGATGGAAAGTCCGCACCTGTCAATAAACTGGTTCACATCATTATCACCGCATCTCGTGTGCCACTGATGACGCTCCCTTGTGCTATTTTTGCATTCAAATGCAAATGTTTATTTTAAATTCGAGTAATATTAATTCTTTACCCACAATCTCCTCATCAGGCCACAGGAGGGCGCAATGAGCAAAATAATGCAGCGCATTAAACTGTCAACGCAAGGAAATAACTGTCTATAAAAAAACGTGCATTACGTCTAAATTAACTCATATAAATCAAATATAATTTCGTAAATTGCATAAACAATTATGAACAAAACAGCATCATGTATTTATGCATTGCTTAATCCAAAGAGCCGAAGCGCCGATCACACAGACTGCATTTAAAAACATAAGAGACGCAGTGAAAAGGAAAAAAAGCTCCACAAATTCGTGACCTGTTTTCTAAAAGTTTAAACTGTTTTAACTTTGCATGACTACATCTCTCGTGTGAGACGTGAGTGCAGCGGTCGTATTTGTCCGTCTAGAAAATGCACTGAATATGCGTTCTGTGTGAATGGCTTGGTTTCAGTTGGAACGTAATCTAGATCTTCTCCGCACTGAGCTTCTGTATTTCTCTAATATTGTGAATGAATAACGCAGCAGCGGCGCGTTTTGTTAGGCTAACAAAACATTAAACTACAACGTCACTTACATCATCACTGATGACACACATTTAACATTTGATTGTGCTATTTTTGCATTCAAATGCAAATGTTTATTTTAAATTCGAGTAATATTAATTCTTTACCCACAATCTCCTCATCACAGGCACAGCACTCATGTTCGTGTTTGTGTGTGCTGTCTGCGTCACTCATAGCACGTGCCTATATCCTGCGCTATTTTTATATTGTTATCGAAAAAGGTGTACCGTCGATAAATATCGATACCGTATCGCTTTATCGCGTACCGATAAATATCGCCAAGGCCTTTGAAGACCCCTGCTTTAATAAATAACATTCATGCTAGCCTTTCACCTGGAGGTGGATACATTTACATTTACATTTACATTTACATTTAGTCATTTAGCTATTTTTTCATCCATGCCGAGATGTCTGCCAGGCAGCCTGAGATCCGTGCAGCTACCGTTGGATCATCTGGTTGAAACGAGAGATAGAGCTGTGTGTCATCAGCATAGCAATGGTAGGAGAAGCCATGTGCTTGTATGATGGGACCCAGTGATGTTGTGTACATGGAGAAGAGGAGGGGTCCAAGAACTGATCCCTGAGGAACCCCAGTGACAAGTTGATGTGCTTTGGATACCTCCCCTCCCCAAGACACCCTGAAAGACCTACCAGTGAGATAGGATTGAAACCAGCTAAGTGGAATCCCTGTGATGCCCATTGAAGAGAGGGCAGACAGGAGGATCTGATGATTGACAGTGTCAAAAGCAGCAGAAAGATCCAGCGGAATAAGGACTGATGATTTGGAATCAGCTTTTGCAATCCGCAAGGCTTCTGTGACTGACAGTAGCGCAGTCTCAGTTGAATGGCCACTCCTGAATACCTGGATACGAGGAATAAAAAGCATAATGAATACATTTCTCACAATAAATTCATGTACAACATGTCCATTTTGTTCTGCGGCACAGGGCGCAGTTACAGGAGCGACTGACGGCGTATGTTGAGGACACACTCGATTACATTGAGACCGTGAGGGACTTCTGTGACCAAGAACAAAGATGGACGTCTGAGAGAAAGGCAGAGCTCGAGAAGATGAGAGACATCAGTGAAAATCAGCAGGAGGAGAAGCTGCACGCCGTGCTCGCAGACACATTAGAGGGGCTGGAGAAACTTGAGCCGTTCCTGGATGCAGTGGAGAAGCTAACGGTGACCTCAAGCCATGTCTTCAGCGGACAGATCTTCCTGCTGCGGGGAAAGAGCCCTGAAAGAGTGCAGTCGGTCATCGCAGATGCCAGAATAGATGCTCCTGTCCTCGTCCACTTCAAAAGAAACGCAGAAACCTTCTTCCGTCCTCTACTCCATAATGTGAATGTCTTGGTCTTCCAGCTAGACAGCTATGTACTCAAAACAGAACAAATTTGTATGAGAATGAAACAAAAGTGAGTTCTGAAATTCCTGTTAAAAGGAATCAAAAGTTACAATTCTGCCATCATTCAATCACCTTCATGTCATTTTAAACTCACATGACTTTCTTTTGTCCTGTTTGCTTTTTTCTTTTTGCAGTGAAAAGACTAGGGGGCCTGTATTTCAATAGCCTGAATTCACTATTGAGTTGCGGCAATTTTACATATGCTATTTTCAGCACAAGAACCTGCATCATTTTTACAAACCAGCCGCAATCCATCTTAAGCAAGTGCGCCAAATGCATTGGAATAGCACTGTGCCATGAGTATTTCATTGACAACATGTGTATTTAAATGGAGTCATTCAGTACAGCAATATGGTGTGTATACCAATATAATGAACACAAATTTCATGAGATATATGTGTCCCTGCAGCACAAAAGCAGTGTTAAGTCGCTGGGGTATATTTGTAGCAATAGCCAACAATACATTGTATGGGTCAAAATTATAGATTTTTCATTTATGCCAAAAATCATTAGGATATTAAGTAAAGATCATGTTCCATGAAGATATGTTGTAAATGTCCTACTGTAAATATATCAAAACTTAATTTGATTAGTAATATGCATTGCTAAGGACTTCATTTAAACAACTTTAAAGATGATTTTCTCATATTTAGATTTTTTTGCTCCCTCAGATTCCAGATTTTCAAATAGTTGCATCTCAGCCAAATATTGTGCTATCCTAACAAACCATACATCAATGGAAAGATTATTTATTCAGCTTTCAGATGATGTATAAATCTCAATTTCGAGAAATTGACCCTTATGACTGGTTTTGTGGTCCTGGGTCACATATGATGATAGGTAAGATTTTACAACTTAAATTTTGGTCTGTTTCTTACCCAAAGCAGCATTGTATCACTTCAGATTTGTACTGAATACATGCCATAATTAGATCAAGATAAACGTTTTTTTTATTCATGTTTTCTCAACAGCTCAGTTTTGTGCGCAGACATCTATACGTAAGTATAAACATTTCCCATCTCATTCAAAGTTGAGATGGAAAAAAAAAACGGTGATGGGTCTTTGTTAATTACACTAAAAATTCTTCACAGGTTTAAAATGGGTCGACCTTCAGTGCAGCTCGTTCCGAACTTAAGCGAGGACACCATGAATCAAATGCTTGATCGTTTGAGCCAGTTGTCCGAAATCAGGTGAGTCCTCAAGCTTAGCCATTGGATTGTGAACTACATGATCAACTCTGTCTTCTTTCTCCTCGTCCAGGATGAACCAGCACACCCGGCTGGCCTTCCTCTTTCAGGAAAATGCTCAGAAATTCATTGACGTGTTCAGTGAACGTCGCTCTAGAATGTGGCAGTTCCTGTCAGATCTGCAGTTAAGCTGGACACGATGAAGAAGGACACCAGTATATGCACTGTGGTTGGTAGTTCAGTGGGGATAGTAGGGGGTGCCTCGTCTATTATTGGACTCGCTCTTGCCCCTTTCACTGCAGGAACATCTTTGCTATTTTCTCTGGCAGGGTTCTGTGTGGGGTTCATCAGTACAGGCATTACTGTCGGAGCAGGGATCGCTGAAATGGTACTCAACCATCGCCATGAGCACAAAGCACAAAGCTATTTAAAGAGTTACAAGGATGATATGATAAAGATTGAAGACTGTTTGAAAGAGCAGGCCAACAGTGAAAGACCTTTAGTGCAGCCTAGTGCAGTTGATGTTACGGACATTTTAGATGGTTGTGGAGACGTGGTTCAAGAGGTTGTGAATGTGGTGGATGGAGTTGCAGATGTTGCAGTGCATAAAAGTGAAAAAGCAGCTAAAGCAGTAACCGAGATCGAACTGACGGACTTCAGTGTGGCCTGTGAAGTACCGCAGGTGGCTACAAACCTGTCTAAGACTGGGGCAAAGCTGGCAAAAGCGGAAACATTGATCGTAAAGTGTGCACCTAAAGTTGTATCTGGCTTCACACATTTATTCTTTATTGGCCTGGACATCTTTTTTATCGTCAAAGAAAGTATAAGTCTTGCAAAAGGGAGCGTGAGCGAGTTCTCGAAGCTCGTCCACTCCAGGGCAGCTCTGTGGAAATCTGAGCTGGAGGCCTGGGAGAAAATTCACGATTCCTTGTGCATAGGAATAGAGACGATTAGCAAGAGTCAGGATGCTCTGGAGAAGCCATTTCTTCCTTAGATATAGAAATGTGCATGAAAGGACGTTTATTAAAATGCTACATATTAAATTTAAATGCGACACTGAAATCCAAAAGTAGTTTCAAGTAGGTCTGGCTCCCAATCTTGAACTTGGCCCGTGTGGAAGAAATTGTATTAATATGTGTCCCTGCAGCACAAAAGCAGTGTTGAGTCGCTGGGGGATATTTGTAGCAATAGCCAACAATACATTGTATGGGTCACAATTATACATTTCTCTTTTATGCCAAAAATCATTAGGATATTACGTAAAGATCATGTTCCATGAAGATATTTTGTAAATGTCCTACTGTAAATATATCAAAACTTAATTTTTGATTAGTAATATGCATTGCTAAGAACTTCATTTGAACAACTTTAAAGATGATTTTCTCTATATTTAGATTTTTTGCACCCTCAGATTCCATTTTTTCAAATAGTTGTATCTCAGCCGAATATTGTCCTATCCTAACAAACCATGCATCAATGGAAAGCTTATTTATTCAGCTTTCAGATGATGCATAAATCTCAATTTCAAAATATTGACCCTTATGACTGGTTTTGTGCTCCAGGGTCACAAATATATATGTGTGTACTGAGTATATTTATTATGTATATATGCACACACACAATATATACATAAGCATAACATTTTTCTTAAACATAAAAACACATGTGTGTGTGTGTTTATAAATATACATAATAAATATACACAGATATGTAAATAATATTTGGATTAACAATTATTTTGGATGAGATTAATCGGTTGACAGCACTAGCGAACAGATGATGTCGCATTCTTGTGCTTGAGTCTTTCATAGAAAAAAAATTGATTATTAGTACACCATCCAGTTTCGGTTGTGAACCGAGCAATTCTGACAACATTCAACAGCAGTATGATTTAGGACACATCTTCAATCCCATGACCTTCCCTGCATTTCTTCCTTTATCCACTTTGACAATAATGCAAGAAGCATAAAGCTATGCAACCGGACAAACTACAAATTATAATGTCAAAGGGCCATGTTTGATTCGACAAGTGATGTCAACACTAGTGTGACTATGAGCTTATAAGCAGGTGGATTTTACACAGCTGTGCAAATAATAACCAGTGTGATCTAATGAGCTGCCTACTTAGACAGTTGCCCCAAAATGAGGTCTAGATAGCCAGCACACAAGGTTTACTTTACAGATGCCCAGATATGCTGCGCCCTATGTAGCCAGCACACTAGGTTTACTTCACGGATGCCCAGATATGCTGCGCCCTATGTAGCCAGCACACTAGGTTTACTTCACGGATGCCCAGATATGCTGCGCCCTATGTAGCCAGCACACTAGGTTTACTTCACGGATGCCCAGATATGCTGCGCCCTATGTAGCCAGCACACTAGGTTTACTTCACGGATGCCCAGATATGCTGTGCCCTATGTAGCCAGCACACTAGGTTTACTT